TTTCCTCGCGGATGGCAAAAAAAGTCCGACATTATACGATTTAAAATAAAAACAATAATCGTGGCTTGATATTGAGTAAGAACATGTTTTTATGAACCCCACAGCTTCCGGTCTTCCAAGACCCGACCGGACAAGAAGACGTGGTGCAGGCACGAAACATACTACCAATAGAAATACATTGCTTTTAAAATCGTTCTGTGTGACACGAAAAAAAGGGGGAAATCGTGTTGGTGAACACGAATCAATAGATTAAATGTCGTGACTATAACACGAAATGCTGTGAGACTGGGTTGGCTATTTACACCCGGGTGCAAATAGACACTCAGATAATTAATTATTTATAATATAATGTGTATACTAAACAACTTTTCTTTCTTCCTTTGTTCCTGCAGAAAATGCTTACAACTCACAGTATGCCCACACTGCTACAATACATACTAGTATGTAATACACAACATTTAAGGCATCACAGGTTAAAATGATGTGTCTATCAATCCAGTGGTCAATCTACAGAAAATGAATCCACAACTATTTGTATCAGACAGCTACTCAGCTTCTTTGTAGTTTTTTCTAGTAAATTGAATACAAGACATTTGAAGTCATACGTTGGTGAAGAAAACAGATAAGACAATAAATACGATTATAGATTAAGCAAATAATTTTTAGTTATTTAAGTAAAAACATGATTTAAAATGTACATTTTAAAATACATTTTCAAAGGTATCAAGACTTCTCTCTGGCTGGGCTAAAAGGAGCATTACAAACCTTAATTGGACTAAATTAAATTACCTTACTCCAACATCATATTTCAATTTGTCAGGAACAAACATTTTTAGATTCAATATAAGGTAACATAGTTGGACAATGTGTTGAACAATTTTTAGAATTTGCTGGGATTTTATGGGTGGAGTTATTCTCCAGCTAGTCTGCCTATCTCTCTGTCTGTCCTAATTGTATTTATTTATTTGTTTTTAATGGCCATCCTGCCTGTCACCTTACGAGTCTGCATGCCTGGCTCACTCTGCATTTGTTGCCTGGTTGCATTCAATTGTTCCTCTTGTTTGCTGGTTGACTGAATATTATCGCTACTCTTAATTCTTTCCTCTGTGAGAATCAATTATAGTTTTACATAATAGAAACACATATGTAAAGCTAAAAGCCCAAACAGTGCCATATTGGTAACTGTTTAGCCATTACAAAAGACCCTCAGAGCAACCTGCCGAGTTCAGTTTACAAAAAAAATTGTTTTAATTCATAACTGTAAATAAATCACAATAAACAATTCGTATACAAAAACCTACGATTCATCTGGGAGGACTCCTTTTTAACGGACTTGCTTCAGTTAATAAGCTCATTCTTATCTGCAGGCTGCACAGCACAACCAGTACAAGTGTGGGACACTGATAATCTCCTGAAATCAGGAGTGAGATAACTCTGTTTTTCATCAGTTCATCTAAACTCCCGCTATTTTCTAACTCATCTGCCAGTCTGCTTACCTAACCTCAATTCTCCTTTCGCATAGCAGGAAAAATCCACTGAGGGAAAGCAGTAACTGTATAATTATTCTCCAAACTCCACACCAAATACACACTCATGCACCGATGCACACTCCATATAGAGAAGTTTGTATTTCAATTAAATGGAACAGTACAGCAAATATTTTAAAAGGTCAAAATGTCATAATGTAGTAGAAGAAATGCTGCTAATATGCTCAATATTAATAATATCAAGTTATTTCATGCTGGCTTGATTCTTTCTTGATATGCCCACATTTTTATTAACTATCAAAGTAATTAGTAGGGACAAAAGTTTGGCGCCATGAGAGAAACCAGTCAGTTAAGAACCAAAGATTACTATTATTTCCCTCCATTATTAACTATCATGACACATTGCAATATAGCTATATAAAAGAACACATAAATGTGAAGACAACTCTCTACAGTCAACTTTAAATCCCGCATCACTATCCGGAATAGCATGAGATGACCTGCATGGATTGATGTCTTATTCTTCAAAGAAAGGAAAGCAACAGCAGCTGACTTTTGTATCTAATAAGGCAATTTCCGGGCCAAGCATAAGAGTTTAAAAATAACTTGTTTTTATGACTTTATGGCCCCTTGCAAATGGAAACCGCTCATTTAGTATCAAGAACACAATTTACAAAGCACTTAACAGAACTGTAAACGGCCTTTCTGATGCCTGAAAAGCCTTGTCTGAGGATGGAAATCAATAACATAGCTTTTCTCTTCACCATCGCACTTCACTTTGTTCAACAGACGTTTCTTTCTTTCCCTTTTAATTTTAGATTACAGGATGAATGTCCTAGAAGACCATCCTCAAACACTCTAATCGTGTGATGTGATCGTCTGATGAACAGCACACAAATGCATGTACAACTTCATGCTCATGTAAACAGAGGGAGCGGGGAAAGAATTACGGTGCAGAAAAACACCATTTCTTTGAGTCAGATGTACTCAAAGCCTATTGTATTTACAGTAAAGAAGTTCAAACTGGGTTGATCGTTCAAATCAAGTTAAGAGCCTTGTCACAATCCTATCAATTATCAAAGGAAAGCAACCCAAAGATTACGTATGTGAATAAGCGCCTACATCACCTTGCCATTCATTTGGACTTCACTCAGTAATTACGTACCTGAAAATAATTACCATCAAAGTCTGATTAAAATCTCCATCAGTCTCAAAGTCAGGAGAGTGAATGAGAGACACCAGCATTAAACGAAGGCGTCCTACGACGGCCACCGCGGTTGTCCTCTTATTTTGTTTTAATTGAGCGGCAGATATGTAGGTAGTACCTCTGATTGGATCTGAGACGCAGCGCAGCATTGGAACAGTTGATTGAAAGTGACCTTGGTCTAATTACAATTGGTATAATTATAATTCTCTGATTACATCCCTGCAGGAAGTGAAAGAATAAGATGTAGCTGTGCTAATGATGTTAAGATTCTCCAGAATGATTCCTGAATAGAATTGATTCGGATCAGATACGAAGAAATACTAATATCCTCTTATTGTCGTCTTGAGCACAATTAGATTAAATTGCTGTGAATGTGTTTTGTTTTTTCTTTGATGGTGCGGAGTGTTTTATATTAATGTGGTGCCGGGGAATCTGAGGCTAGCAGAATCAGTGATATCTTTTAAATAATCTATTAAAACCCTTCACTTTATTAAAGCCTTTCATTAATAATGCCACCAGTCAATTTCAATGTTTTATTTCATTTTACTTTATTTTCTAAATGTTTTCCTGTTGCTATTGTTGTAACGTTGTATAGTCTTTATTTTTTTGGGGGGGGGATTGTTTGACCTCATGTTCAGTTGCCGCCTGAACAGCTTGTTTTTAATCCATGTAAAGCTCACTGTTACTATGTTTTGAAAAGTGCTGTATAAATAAAGTTATTATTAATAAATGAATTCAAAAAGAATATGTCCCTCTTTTTGACTCCTTCTCATTTCCATGTCCCCCTGTTTCTCTCCCCCCTGCTTCCCTCTCCCGTCTCACAGGGCTGAGGTCGTGTTGCCCTCCAGCTCCCTTCCTCTGAGCCAGGATGACATCATCACATAGCTGCCTCGTCCTTGAAGTGCCTATTCATCACCCTGATCATCATCGCCGGCATCAGCAGCATCACCTGCGTATGCGCACACATTTACAAGCACATACACCTACTGCGAGAAGATAAAAGAGAAGAGGGCCCCCACCGGTTCTGCAGGACCGCAAGCCTGAAGGGAAGAGGGAGATAACCACAGAGGGGAGGAGGGAAGATCCTGCTGGGCTACGCAGAACCCCTGACATGTGCACTTCCAACAATACATCTCAATAAAACACAGTATAGACAAATATGATGAGTCACACTTTGTGGTAAAACTAGCAACGTAGAAACCAGGAGAGAGAAGACCCCCCCACACCTAACGTCCCCTTCCAGCTAGAGTTTCCTGCGAGGTGAATCGCACTTCCTTTCTCTTAGTCACTAGCTAATCTAAAACTTGATGAGCCCTGGCACTGCTCTCTGTATTCCCGTTACTGGATGGTGCATGACTGAATAAACCAACGGCTTGATGTGCGGGAATTACACCAGTGAAGTGGAGCCACAGTGAGAAAACACAGCAATAAACAATGTTTCCACCACACGGGCCAATGTCTGCCTTCCCAGTCTGCTCCTCAGCGCAATGTGCTCTCAATATTTTAGCCGGATATCTGTGTGTGTGTGTGTGTGTGTGTGTGTGTGTGTGTGTGTGTGTGTGTGTGTGTGTGTGTGTGTGTGTGTGTGTGTGTGTGTGTGTGTGTGTGAGTGCAGTGAATTAAAGCTGTTGTGCTAAGGTAGAATGCAACTTAATGGTAAAAACAAACTCGCATAGCATAGTAAAGCAAGTCTTTATACCACACGTCCAACAAGCAACACGCAATCAATTAAACGACTCTTTTGATCAACGATTCATTGCAAGATAAAACCATTGGAGGAGGTTATAAAGTTAATTTGTAGCCATACTTAAACCAAACAGTCTTAAGTATGTTGTTATGGTAAAGGATGTGAGAAACTGATTAAATGTTGTGTATCCCTCATAACCTTATGGCCTAAATGCCAAATGATGTATTATTTGGACATCTGTTCTCAATCCATATCCTTGTGTTGGTATATTTTTTGGGCTTCTAGGCATATTATCGTAATTAGAAAACAGAAAATCGTTGACTATGGCAACATTCAAACCACTGTAATTTCAGCATGTACTGTAGTGTCAACAATCTTTGTCAGTCAGTAATGACATACAACCCAAAGCCAGTTTTGTTCCCTAATTCAGACTAAAGGAGCAGCAAAACAGTCATAATAAGGGATTGACTCTTAAAAATGTATTGGCATTATTCCCAATGTATCTCATTTAATAAATCTCTTTCCATTCACTCATGATGTTTCAATACACAACACATCTCCCAGCATAGATTCTTGTGTTGATTGACCAGGAGGAGCAATGAAATCAGTGCAGACTCACGTAGTCATGGAAGGCTTTGGCCTCACTGGAGTGTTCACATGAGTCTCTTCTCTCTGGAGCCGCACAGTACAAGTCCCAGAAAACACTGCAACACACAGAGAGGCAGTCAGAGAGAAGCATGACGGCAAAACAGAAACATTAAAGCCCAATAGATAAAAATAATCGTCCATTTTAGAGGCAGTAAGTAGGTTTCTATTATGATCATTGAAATAGACAACTTTAGGAGAGTGTGTTCGGATTTGCAAACAGCTACCTGAAGAAGAGCTTTTGGGTACAATTAATGAGATGAAGATACATTAAAATGGCAGGAGAAGGAGGGGGAATGATTATTTTAATTAATATTGTCAATGATGGAATGAAGAAAAACAGCATGAGGAGGAATGTAACTTGATTCATTAGGCATACAAACACTCACCACCACCATGAGTGGAGGAACCCCGGAGGTTCTCCTAATGTGATGTTCTTCTCCCATCGGATCTAGCCAGACAGACAAAGAGAGATGCTTCAGAAACAAATTAGGTATAAAACATGGCTGACATCTGAATTACATCCTTTATAAGGTTTGAGAGGGTGCAAGGGAACTCTTACAACGCATGCCATTATGTAATTATATTATGATTCTCATACCAGAGAGTCATAAGTGGATAAGTGAGTCTACGTATGCCTGAGAGCCTGTATATCCACAAGTAGGTAAGAGAGTGTGTGTGTGGAAGAGTGTGTTAGCCAAGTCAGGGGATATGCTCAGGCCAGGTCAGAAACATGTACCAGCCTGAGGAGCCCCATCAAAATGTTGACTATCCCTTTAAAGCCTTTAGCCTTTAGCTTCCTCTACATTATCTGTCCTTCTGCTCCCAGTGTTTCATCACTCTTTGCTTCTTTCTAGTGTATATTGTTATATTGAATAATATAGCCTCTGTATCTGCTTATTTTTTACTTATTTTCTCCTTTTCTTCCTAATGTGGGTCCAAGTCACATTTTAAGACAAAATAATTTATGGTTGTTCTGAAAGGCCACACTCGATATTAGGGCAACATTTTATTTCAATCTTTAATTCAATGCAATAATGGTGTTTTTTACACAAAAAGTTACAAAACTGATCCGCCTTCATTTACCTGTTATATCTAATCCATCATTACTTATATTTATACATTATTTTGGTGTTATAATTCTCCTAAAATCCCAAAACGACACACATTGCTGTGTATCAGCTTTCCAGGTAGGCTATGTTGTGAATGCTATGAGAATGTAGGCTAACATTAGCTACTTGGTCCTGCCATATAACATTTTGTGAAGTTTACACCCCAACCTAACTCTTTATCTGAAATAGTTGATATAAACATTAGAGTATTGAGCTAGCCTCTGTCTTGCTAAAGTGCTGAATCCAAGTCAAGCATCTGAAGAGGGAATTAGAAAAGCGAGACCCCCTTGAGTAACTAATGTTAGCTTAATGAGTTAACTAGCTATTTCTAAGAGAGTCTGCTAGCTAAAATGATCACATCAGGCGGGCATAATGGGAAGAACAAACACAGAACAAACAAACACATCAGGAAGCTGTGTCTTCTGCCATTACTTCTATTAAATAAGTATTCTGTAATAAGGTTGTGCACATAAACACAGTCATTGTTGTAAGTACCCATTGCAAAAAACTGACTATAAACCTGGTGGTGGTAAATCTGCCATTGTAATCACAGACAGAAGAAGCAAACAGAGGGGGGCGGGGCTTAAAAAATGGTTTCCAACGTTGGGAGTGTGGGTGAAAAAGACACCATCTAACAAACGCTTGAATCATTTTGACACCTTATCACCTCGGTCAAGGTTAGTGTCTAACATGAGCGCTGACATCACCCACAATAGGGATGATTAATGCTCGCAGACAATGTCAACTGATGTCTAGACACACACACACACACACACACACACACACACACACACACACACACACACACACACACACACACACACAACACACACACACACCACACACACACACACACACACACACACACACACACACACACACACACACACACACCACACACACACACACACACACACACACACACACACACACACACACACACACACACACACACACACACACACACACACACACACACACACACACACACACACAACACACACACACACAACACACACACACACACACACACACACACACACACACACACACACACACACACACACACACACACACAGTATGAACAGCAGCCAGGCTTCTCCTATCAGACTATGACGCTATTGTTTAGTCTGCCTCTCCTCTCTATAAACAGACTTACATCACTTTTAAAAATGATCTGGTGATGATCTTTTTAATTTCCTTCACTGCAATATTTAATAAAAGAATAAGACCACTGTACCACCTGCTCTACCTTCAGAGTTAATATGAACTAGAAAAACAGGAACAACTGAATCACTTGCAATCAGACCGTCCTGACCTCAGCTGCAGATCAGACGCAGTGACTCTTAGAAGGAATGCCCTGCTTTGAACTGCCTCCCTTTGTTTATCCCACATGCTTTCAGTCTAAGTTAGACATTCTAGTAAAGAGTTTGGTTAACTTGAAACATAAGAGACAGCTGGCAGTTTCCATACAACATGACAAATAATGATTTCCTCCCTTCATAGTTCTTCCAAAAGATGCAGAATGAGCATCCCTTATTTCTCACATTTCAATTGGCTGTAGCTCAGTCCAGACACAATTGTTTCACAACAGTTTAATTCAGGACACTTTTTAGCGTGTTCTTTTATTCTACACACATCTGGAACGCCTAGAAGAAAATAGAATTGACTGTGCCTGCATGTCCTGTCTTCTTGTGGTCTGTACTCCCAGGGGTTTCGCTCATTTACCTTCAGCATGCTAGTGACAAGCCTTTAGTGTGATCACTGGCAGATGGAGGCTGTGTGTTACAGGGGCAGCTCTCTAGAGTGAGGATTGAGATTTAAGAAAAGCTACTTTTACAGTTTCTTATTTACTCATATATTTCAACCTTTTCATTAATTGCTGTCTTGTTTTTTTCTCCCTCATGATTTCTGTTAAGGTGTTAGCGTATTGTTGTTATGTGAGCGTAGCTGTAAGGCATACGGTGTGTAAGGGAATTACAAATTGACTGAGCCATCAATGTATTTTGACAGGGTTGCATGATTTTTGGTTGCCTTTTGTTCTGAGCTGTCTGATTTTGGTATTAACATTCAGGTATTCAGGAGTGATTCGTCATTTGTCTTTTTTGGCTCTTGTTTCTCGAGCCTGAGGATAAATTGTTAATAAATGCAGATGCTAAAAAGTGGATAACAGTTCTTTACAGCCATCCCACTACTCCAACTAGAGCTACATTATGGGCTCGTAATGTTTATAAAATGTGTGTTTTGAGTGTGTGCATGCTCATACATGTTTTTATTACATGTACAGCACTTTGGCTCGACCAAAAATCGCTTTTAAATGTGCTATATAAATAAAACCTGATTTGATTTGATTTGATACAAGCACGCCCATGTGTACTGTTTGCAAGTGGCTGTGTTTATACCCTTTCATCTGCCACATCTGTCAAAGAAAGAGCACGTTATATGGCAGAGAGGAAAGGGTGTCAGAGCGGTGTGTGTGTGAGCACATGTGCACAAACACACACTTAAAGCCAGAGTGATGAGAATTGGTGCCAGCTGATGATGTAACCTTTTCCATCCCCCTCTCTTTGTTCTCCTCTTCCTCTGGCCGATGTACAAGCAGCCCCCAGCCTCGGTCTCCTACATAGTCATTTACTGTCATTTACAGCAAAGCACTAGAATCAGCTGACCTTATTTTCACCCTGTCACCTTTTCACCTCTGCAGAATGAAAGTGAGAACAAGCGTGCTTCTCTGGAATAGTTGCTGAGAGATGACAAAGAGGAAGTGGAGAAATCAGAGAGGACGGGAAGGAGATAGAAAGAGATCGACTGAGACGGAGCTGCTGAGCGGATCAGTGAATGATCTCAGTAAAAGACGTCAGCTCCTCGCTGAGCATCGTAACTCTCCTCGTCCTCCGGCTCCAGTCCCACTAAATGCAACACTAATGTTAATAACGTCTGCTGCTACTAACCTGTTGGCTCAGCACTGTAAGGCCAGGCTAATTCAATTAGCTGCTACACTAAGTGGACACAGGAACTGGAACCTTTCAGAGTGGACACATGAAATACATGGGCTGCCTCTCTTAGACACACACTTTGTGACTTACCTCTGAGAGAAAGGTCTGTGCTGACTTCTGCGCTCCTACATGCAGCAGGTACTCGTACACATACAGAGCTAACCTGCACAGAAAGATAAAGAACACAGTGGAAGAAAATAGGTCAGTTTGTTTATTAAGATCAAAACAGGCAACAACAGATGGGTGAATAAAACTGGTACATTTCCTTTTTTTAAATAAACATTATAAAAGGAATGGAGGCCAACAAACGCTCTACATTGACAGTGAGACAGTTACGACAGAAAAACATAAACTACTTATACTTACTACTTATACTACGTAATACACAAACACCGCTCAGTGTCAATCAAATGCCCCAAAGATTCCTCTTACGTATTACTTGAGCATTTCTGAGTTTCAAGTTCAAGCCAGTGCTTTTGGACTCAAGACAATTACACTTCCTTCTCTATATTTAGTATAAGTCCATATTTAAGAGGGAGTTTCTCCCAGGAAAGCGCCACAAAATAAAGATGAGAGATCCTACGCATGCAAATCACCAAGCAGCTTTGCGATGCAATGTGCAGTTATGTGTGAGGGGGGCGTAACAGTCCATTACAAATCTCATGAGGAACAGAAAGACACACATCAGCTTCGGGGCACAAATAAACTTCAGAATGCCAAACAACATGGCAACCTTTTAAGACATTTGAAATTCACCCGACATTATGCTAAATCTTAAACCCACCTGTTTGAAGAACAAACAAAATGGTGATAAGAGTACGCTCGGTGGGACCGCACTGTAAAAACACCTCGGGCCTCGGGCTCTCCACATGGCTTTGATCACAGTGAGAATTAATTACAGGCTTGATTTGTTAATCAATTCTCCTCCCAGTGTGTCTGTGCTGCTACTCGACTTACAGAACAGGGTGAGTGATGATCTACTGGGTCTATAAATACAAGATAAACACTGATCCACACAAGATCAATAGTAGATCACACTGACTCCTTACAGCACCGTAGATTTGGGCAAGCGGGTAATGAGCAGGTACAGTTCATGTTCCCTGAATACAATATTAACCAGGTTGGTGCCAGATTGGGGTGATTTGTAAATTATTTCATATCCGTGAAATGTACTGTATATGTATTTAGCAACAATGAAATAGGTTGATGTTGATTATGTAAAATGGGACCTAAAGTTTGTTATCTATACATATTGTTGGTAGCATTTGGTAATTTAGAATTTTAATTTACGATTATTAACATTACTGATTGATCTGCTAATCAAATGCCAGAAAACTGTTAAATACTCATGACATACATGACATAATGGTGACAGAGTGTAATTGCTAGTTTTGTCAGACCGTCAGCCAGTCTAAAACCCAAAAAATCCAAAGTTTATTATGAATAGAAAAGATTCATGTTCTCAAATTTGAAAAACAGAAATTAATATATCTTTGGCATTTATGCTTTAAAAACGACTTACATTATTGGTTGATGAAAAATCGAAATAATGGGATTTATTTTCTATTACTTGACTAATTGTTTGACGAATCAATTGCATAAAAAACTCAAATTGAAGCACGACACAGCAAAAGCTTTGACCTGGAGCTCGGTGTGTCTGTGTGTCCATGAGGGGTGTATGATTGTGTATCGTCATGCGTGAATGATGGTCAGTCTGGGACAGCAGCTGTCCTCGAACCTCCGCTGTAAAGCCAGACGGCTGCAGCCCGTCCACACTCCTCTCATATCGAGGTAAAAATAAACTCCCCAGACAGCCCTGTCTGCCTGTCTGGAGATGATGGACTGCACACCTTTCTGCTCTGCACACAGGTACTCTCTCTCCTTGCCCCCTCCTCCATTTCAATCTCTCTTCTTCATCACTTTCGCCCTCAGTCTCCCCTCTTCCTCCTCCTCTCTGTGTGCCTGTTCTGTCTTGATGGCTTTCTTCCTGCACTCTTTTTTGTACGAGGCCATGTTTGTTTAATGATGAAAGGATGAAGGGAAAGCAGCAGAAGCTCTTCCTCATCATCCTTCCATCTCTTCCTCTCTCTCTCTGTTCCCCCGTGGCCCGGCAGTTATGTTTAACCAACGAGATAGAGAGAGATCGTTTCACAGGGACAAGGTTAACGTAACAGAGAGAGGCTTGACAAAACTCTTGACACCTTGACAACAGAACATGAATAAAAGATGCGGACATTTTTATTTCAAGGAACAGTACAACTCTGAACATTTCGAGGTACAGACTCACTCAGCCTCTCTGTTCTGCCTCTCTTTCTGTCCTGTCTGTCACTCCCCACTGTAAACCCTAGCAACGGCAGCATCAGTACAGATCTATTTATTAATACTGAAAGATACATTTGTAGTGAATACATTCACAGCAATGACAACAAGCCTGATGGACTGCATGAATGAATTCATTGTGCAACTGTGAATAAAGAAAGAAATGGAAGCTTGTCCTCAGAATGCTTTGGCCTGTTTTCAGTCAGCTGTCTATTACCACAGGAAAAGAAAGCCTGGCTCTGTAGCAGAAAAAGGTCTGACCTGGGATTGATTTCATAAAGCTGTAAGATGTGACCTTTGACACTGATATCTAGAAAGGGTTTTAAAAAACGAGGAAACCCAGTGAAGGTGGAAGCTGGAGTGCAGGGTTGAGGAGAAAGGTGGATGAAAGAAAGGGAAGCATTACAGGGTATCAAATGAAAACAGGTTAATGCAAAAAAAGATAAGTAGGGGAAAAGGAAACTAATTCATTCACTGCTTGTGACCTTAAACACAATGCACTGCAAACATACATAAATCCACTCCGCAGGACTGATAAGCAGACAGCAAAGCAGCAGAAGGAGGAGGTACGTTGTTAGCATTCAATATCTTTCGAACTTTAACTCTAAAATGAACTACTCATTTCCTCATCGACGAGATAGACTTTGAAAACATAACCCCCCCTCACAATGCTCTCTCATTGTTCAGTTACTACTTGTTCAGCTCAGCTGGATACAAAAACCCAATAAACTATGAGGAGGTAGACTGACTGACTGACTGACTGACTAAAAATACTGAGCAGAGATAAGGTTTGTGGATTAGAGCTCAGTTCAAGGTTGACATAATAAGTGAGAGCATTACAAAGACTCTCTTGTCATTAAATAAACTGTCACTTTGAATAATCTTTGCATTAGGATTTGAGGTCAAAGTGCTCAAACTCGGGCAGGCAATGCATTTCTAATGGTTTTACTCCATATTTGTTTCTCCACATTAAAGCTCTTTAGGTGTTTGCCCTTGCTGTCGGACATACACCGGAGAATTGAAGAGGTTTTTTATTTCGTACCTGTCTGCTCTGGCAATTTGTGTTGTAAATAAGAACCACTTTACATTAATCACAACTGCAACCAGGATGATTGAAGAGATCAGGCGCCTCCCACTTTGCTTCCTCTCCCCATATGCTGTGAGTGTGTGCGGGTGGCAGGGGTTGTTGGTAAAAGTGGAGAAGGTGAGTGATAGGAGGGGGACTTCAAGATACACACCTGACCCTTTTCTCCTTCAAATCCAAGTAGTTTTGTCTTCTGTGAGTAACTTTTAATGAAATTCACATTTGCAACGGACACCATGCTGACTGCTCCTGTAAGTCTGTACAAAACCAGACAGCCGGTGAGATTAAACCAAGTTTCTGCGTAATGCAGGCAGCGGGAACTGCGACCACGTCTATGTTGCTTTGTTCCCGAGCCGTACAGAGAGCAGTGAGATGAGAGTAGCTTGGAGATAAATCACAACTTCATCTTAAGGCCTTTACATGAACTGATTTTCCAAGATCAGCATTTAACAGGGACCAGTTGATCGCTGCTAATCAATTTACTGCCATGGCGATCAAAGTCTGGCACGGCTTCAAATGAAGACAGACAATGGCTTCACTGATTGGATTTGCCTGTCAAAGATTAGCTCCAGATTATTCACCCTTGTTAAAGATGAAATGTGCATGGTCTTATATGAATGGGCATGTAAATTGATACATTTACAACACTTGCTGCTGTGCTGACATCGCACTATAACACATGTTTGAAAAGGGATAAAATCCTTAATTAAAAATGCTAAACATGCTATCTCCGTCAAATATATACTTCACCTCTTCAGTGGAAGAATACAAATGACAGTAAATGGCGCAGTACTTGTATCTCCTTATTCTGCATTATTGGGAAAACTATCTGGTGCAAGTCCTAGATGATATGTTGTAGCCGCACGTATTTAACTGTTTAAGATGTAAAAATATACCACAGAAGAAGAAGCACAGTAGAGACAGCAGCATCTCTCCCTTCGTACTAAGACGCTATAAATCTGCCATCTTTGCCCATATTAAATGTTCTGCTGCTGGGTGTGGGCAGTGGCAGGAAATCATCACTATCCACAGGAAGTGATGAACACAAACTGTCTCCTAAGCAGCAGTTACAGAGTGATACTGTCAGAGAAAGATATATTGTCCATTTTGGTAATTATCACAAACTGCAAATTCATAGACTGTAAAATAGACGTGGACATAGCCTCCGGGTCTGAAAAAGTGAAGCGATTGAGATAGCTCTTTAAACCTGCGTTTACTCCACTGGTTGCAGAAAGAAGTTTGATAAATGTTTATGAGAAAATAACCCTACTTCTCACTTAATTTTATTATCCGAGTAAACATTTTGGTAATGAGTTTATGGTCTCATTACCTGGTTTAAAGTCTTTGTGAATACAGCATGACGTTCATTTTTGATCTCATTTGAAGTTAATAGGTGAAAGCTGCAGGTTAATAGGCCAGATGATGTCAAATAGGGATTCACTTGGAATTTAATAATTGGAAAAGGTAAAACCGGTTGAACTCATTCAGTAAAGTTTGCTATACACAGATTTACTTTAAGATCTCAGACAAACATTTTTCTCTTTTTGTGATTTCTGGGGCAACACTTGACAGACAAATTAATGAAATATAAGAACAAACACAGAGAGTTAAACGCACCCCCCTCTCCATGGAGGGAGGAAAATTACAAAAAAGAGAAAATGAGAGAGAGAGAGTGATGGGGTGACGGGAGCGTAGCAGAGAGAGAGAGATGAAAGCTTCTTGTGAAGAGAAAGAAGTTAAGAAGGGGGATTAGAGAGACA